ATACTGTTTGAAACAAACCCACTGTTACTATTATCGTTTGAGTTGGTATTCTCACCCTGTACTTTGCACATTTTTGACCTCAACCCTACTGTAAATGTGGACAAATTGCAGTGGTTAATTTAATTGACATTTTGAGTAAACTAGATGCAATATTGTGATAAATGCTGACAATTCCATTCTGTATTATAAGTAACATTTTGGAAGAAAGTAGATTATTATTATTATCATAATTGTCATTATTATACTCCAACACAGTGCCCAAGTTCTATTCTTATAACACTTAGAATGCTATGTGCAATGATTTTAGGAAATCGACCACTAATTATCCCAACATATCATATCATTTATCATCCGTCTCTGGATGCTGTATAGGATTCTAGTGCTGTCGAGCTTCACTGCAGAACGTTTACCAGAATCGACATGCCTAATCAGGAAATCATTGTAACTGTTGTTAGTCAAGTACATGATTCACCGAGTTCCCTTAGTTATTCAAAAATTAACGCCTTACATCCCCGTTTCGCGAATTGATTTGTTCTAATCACATTAAATCTCGAAGACTCGCTCATAATCGGAAATCAAACAAACTTGATCCGCTAATATGTGTTATTCGGCTGTCTTTCACCAAGTGTTACAGTCGAACAAATCCAGTTAACAGTGTATTATAATTCCAGATTCCTTTGGATTTCTAAATAGCGTCACATCTCCTTTGGGTTCTGCAATATTCTTCAAGTTGATTACAATATGTATACTTACGGAAAGGAATGTATATAACAGGGTGGGCAATAAACTACCATCCATTTCGCTTCGCGCTAGGAAAATCCACTAATCTCGGAAATACCACGAAATTTCAAATAGCCAAGAAGTTTGAAATATTATCATGACAGCGTTTCACTGTTTATTAATATCTTAAGCACACTATTCACCAATGTGAATGAATAATTTGCAAATACTAACAAACACCTTAAAACGTCTAAATATTTCAGCACAAATTATGTCACAGATAGATGGCCACTGGAAATTATGCGACGCTGGATAGTCAGATCGCTTAAGTTGACCATACTTCGGAAGTGTGCTTTCTCAACAGCCAAATTACGAGGTTAGCGTGTCACAACTCAACAAATGGGCTGGAATTCAATAGCTCACGAAATCTTACTTTCGCGAATTGGCGATATCACCATTCACTTTTATTAGTATCAGCCCGCATGACTGATCTCGGTGGCCCCACTTGCCATGGCTTCTTTACGAAGACTGCCTCGAAGTCAACAAAATCCACACAGATCCAACTTGTTAACCTCATTATTCATTGTTGGCTCTAGAGAATCTGATATTCGTTGCAGCACATCTTCAAGTGGAATGATTTCTAGTCTCTTCTTACAGTCGCACTAAACAAATTGTAAATGCTTCACCAGTTTCCTAACATAATGCAAACTTACAAACAGAGTGTGGATACTCAGTGTTAACTCCTAACCCTCAAACGATGTAGCAGGCTGTCAAATTAAAGCTACTCCAAGTTAAAATAGGAAATTCCACTCAACGAACTAAATGGTCCAATCAGTTCCACAAGAAGTACTGCTGTGAATTAAACTATTCGCTCGACACAAGCAGTATTAGAAGAAACTTTTAGTTTGAGTGCGACTCTAATCACCTAGTAAGCTGAAATTGATGCGATTTGACCACACAAGATAATTGATCACAACAATAAAATCAAATAGTTTTACAGTCGTGCGCGTTATCAAAGCCTACGGTGACCATTGTCTAAATGAAACGAAACCGTTACTAACGCACTGTGATGCAAAGCATGAGTACCATAGAAATACCAATCCACGGAGGATAAAAACGAAAATCACTATTGAGTCGACCAGTTCTTCCAACTGGATATCTGTCAGTTATGAAAGTTATCACATTGGAAACATAAGAACTCTTTTCGTAGTGAAAATCACTCTTCACCTTCATATACATATCGCTAATCTCCTAACAAATATGAGCATTTTCAACTAGTCGAGTGGCAGCGTGAGAAACTCGGGAACAATAACGACACCGAGTCATGCGATGAGAAACCATTATACGATACCTTTCAACTATGCAGCAAACGCGAAGTTCTGTTATTGTGATATCTGCACTGAATGAAACTCCGTCGCCACTTTGTTGTTACTGAACTGAATTGAATAGACCCGTTACTACTTTACTACATCTGCGCCTGCTAATTGGTAATAATGGTAATGAACTCAACTGGTAGCCTAATATGCCTATTTGCTCGTTGTAACTTCCGATCCACTGAGCCACACAAATATCAAAAGACAAAGGCTGGACTGTGAATGTAAGACACTGTACTGTATATTTACTAGGAAAACGACACGTGATATTTATACATTTTTACAACAATAAGGTCGGCTCACAATCATGGGAAATAATTGATCACACAAGTCACAACATACGTGAGAAATCATTGATCGCATAATCAATGACAATACGCGTGAGAAATGAGGATATACCTTTTTTATGCAGGATCCCATCAACTATTCATCAAATATATGTTGTTCTTCCAGTTAATTACAATAAGAATTCAGGTTATACCTTTTAGTCAAGAAGTATACAATTCACATTAGAGTAGAAAACTGTTACACATAAATCACAACAATCTGCAACAATGATGTAAACCACGCAATGATGTAAGTACAAGCTAACTCGATTTATAGGGAGTTATTTGCAATACTGACATACTTTCCATTTTCCTGCATCCCTTTTACAGTTAGTTGTTTTATGCACTCAGTTTATGCTACCCAGTGCGAGAATGGCTACTGACTTGACGCACAACAGTACCAATAGAATCAATCATTCACTAAAACGTTCACCAATAAACACTGCTAAAGACAAAAGTCAACGTGCACAAAAATAATTTCGACTGGAGACGAAAACTTTCCAGGCACTTATTTCGACAAGGATGAAAGGAATATTTTAATTAGTCAACGATATGCAGTGCACCTTGAATGTTTGAACTTCTGTTTCAATGCATACACTCACAAACTGGCACCAACGCCAGCTTCGTTGCTCTCTCTGCTTGTGTAATAGACAGTCGCATTCTCTGATTCAGTTTTACAGCCTTTCAAACTAGATAAGTTATTAGAACATTTTTTCAGAACTATCTTGACTTCTTTTTGTATACAAATATCCTCTTCGAAAGAGCACATTACTATTTCTCAGTCTTTTTAGTTTGTGGCTTGTCATCAGTACTTACAATATAGGTAGAGTACTGATTTGTCGAATACCAGACAAACTTCATTTAGTAGAGTTGGCATCATTTAGCTAATCTACAGCATTACACAATGAGACAGCTAACCTAGGTACTTCTTCTTTCACTTTCAGAATCACAACGAGTAGTGTGGAAAATGTGAGTTGCAGCTTACTGGCATTAAGTTCTGTGGAACAATCTTCTCAACTTGTTGGTGCTCATTTCGCTTGGTACATTCATTACCTGTGAATTGCAGTCGTATATACGGAGGTCTTGTATTAGCAAATATAGAGGAATTCGTTTCTGCTCCCTTGACCATATGTGTCGCGATGAAGTTTTACAGGTTAATTATTTTCAATCATCTCTTCATACAGAACCTTAAGTTCGTCTTCAATTGCTACTCCTGAACATATAGCTCTGACTCTGTATCCGAGAGTCTTCGCCAAATTTCTTTTACACTGGATAGGAGGAAAGCCTTGAAAGTGTATATGTCGTCTTGTCCACGTGTTTTCTCAAGCGAATTCTCTTTTATACTTCCATCTGGTCTTCTGGTGAGTAGGATGTCTAGGAAGGCGATTTTACTTTGGAATTCTTCTTTGCACGTGAATTTGAAAGCTGAATGAACTCTATTGAATTGAGATATTATTGCGCATCTGTTCAAATCATTTTCACTAGGGATGAACGTGTCATCCACATATCGGTAATAAAATGGAAATTTTCTAATCAGATTGTTTAAAGAACTAACTTTTGATTTACATGGAACGCAGTCTAATATCACGGACCCCAATGGGGAGGCCAATGCAGAGTTAGCCATCAAATTTAAATTCATGGTACACTTTAGCATCAATTTCTCAAGGATTTTTATTCTGAGATCCCAATATTTATTGACTTGTTATTTATTTCTTCACATATGCAATTAGCCGTCTCTCTAGGAACCGAATATTTTGTGCACAGGAACACCTACCATTGACGCTAAATAGAGTGTGATTAAAACTATCAACAGTTCTATAGCAGGTCACCTCGTCCAAATAGGCTACACATCCTGCATTGAACAGTCTTTTTCTCCCACCTATAGAATACCGAATCAATCGCCGAACACTCAAAACGGCAGAGGTAATTGTACTTCGCTTAAGACAACCGGCGCTCTGTATGCAAACCAAACCTGCTCAGCCACTATTGCTACCCTTGCATACTGCTTTTTTATTCCTTTACGTTCTCAGTGGAACATAGAGCTTCAAGCTAGAGGCTTGAAATTTCGGTAGCAGTGGTATTTATTTTTACGGAATGAGGTTGCTAGTCTAATGCCCAACCTTCCCTCTTTACCAGTCTTATTACTGGCTTAGCGAGGTAAGGGAGTGCGTCGGCCGGGGATCGAACCCCGGACCACATACGTGGTCGGCGAGCATTCTACCTCTGTGCCACCGACGCACTGGCCTACTGTGGAACCTATAAATTTGTAAATTCTGTACTACGTTTCTCAATTTATCCAATATTCAGTTTAATGTAACATTTTTATGCATATTATCACACACAGATGCTTTCGAACTGTAATGTAATAACATTATTGACTCAATGTTACTTGAAAACAATAGTGTTGTTAATAAGAATAATTCGTTAATTACTATGGTGAAATAACTGTAAAGCCGGATGTAGAAATATAAAGAAAAGGAATTTTTAATAAAATGGGAAAACAATAAACGAGTCTTGAATACTAATGGTTGAGGGAAAGACGTGAGATTTCAGACAAAAATCTAACTCTAAAAACTGTGTTTTACAACGTACAGTAGTTTAAATCAGATTTTATTATCAAGCGATAATTACCTTGTTGAATCTCCTTGGAATTATTTAAAGGAGACGAACTTGTCTGATTATTTTTAGTGATGAGATTATCACCATAGATACTGTTCAGAGAAACGTCATTTGAATCTAATAAAATACCGTGACCTCCTTCTGTTAATCCAATAAAGTCAATACCGGATGACAAGCTGACAGCATTCTGATCATACCTCAAAGAACCATTAAGTAAGGCAGTTGTGGCTGTATTCGTTTCTTCATCCTCTACATAATTGGTAGTCAAGTATTCATTTTCACTTAGTCGATTTTCCACAGCACTTTCTACGTAGTGGGAAGTGTTAGGTTCACTAATATTTTCATCGATATTCTGTGAGTTGGACACATCGTTATTCATTATGGATGGATCTGGAACACTTTTAAATTGAAGATTCGTTGATAAAATGTATGGCTCTGAGTGGAAAATTCTTAAATGACCATTTTCAGCAAAGACATGTCTATCCTACAAAATAAAAAAGAGATACTTGCGGGGAACAGTGTACTGAAGTGTGAACAGTAGTGGATGATTATATATGAAATATGAAATTATTATGAAGCACTAAATAATACAAGCTCAAACCAAAGTGATCACTAGGACAGAAATGATACATGAATTATTTGATAATAAGTCTTAGTTGGTTGGGTAGGCTCAAAACCCACCTCATTTTAGACGGGAAACATACATTATGTTTTTGTTCAGGAAGCGCTTTCAATATCGTCTAAGTCATCATATTCATGCTAAACATTATCCAATCGCATCACCTCCCAGAATTTTCGATTATGAAACGTGACAGCTAATCAAATATAGTTCAATCCTCTAAAGTAACAATACTGTTTGCAGTTCTCATAAGATTGTCCACTTCTAACAAGTCAAAAGTATGCCGAAGCAAAATATACGAAACAAACTTCTTTTCGACAATCAACCATCAACGATAACCAAATTTTAACATTCTATTCCTGGTCATTGTGAAATTCATATTCATTTCTTGATATCTGTGCATAACATTTGGCGTCCTCTCAAACTTTTAAAGGGTGGAATATATAATAAGGCATTTGAACTTATTCATTCGATTCGTGGGGATGGGTTAGGGGAACAAAACCAACAGAGATCCTGATCCACAAGTGCAACATTCCAGTTGACCACATTCTGAAGTAATGCAAAGATGAATTAAACAGAAATGTAGTAATAATATGTGAGCAAAGCAGTTTATGTCACAAAATGTAGCGTGTAAATCAAGACAAGTTAGAGTGTTCAAAGTGAATATGTTTACCCTCAAATAGTATTCTATAGGGCCATCAAAATGCAAATGAAGGTCGATTATTAATATCACATGGTAATATAACATATGAAACTACACACCAGCGATTTTAATTGCATAGCCAATGTATTCGTAATATGTATATCACTGCTAATAAAATTATTAACTTAAATAAAGTCTTTGAAGCGTTTGATAATACTCATCGATGAACTGCTTCTACGCTAGAAGTTGTGTCATAAGGAAAACTTCCGTCCTCAGATGTTCAACTATAGAGGGGAAGTGATGCGTGTGTGTTACTGAAGTTTCTTGAAATATTTTTAAATAACTGTTGTTAAGTCCTTCCATGTATATAATAATATATTTCCAACTCACTGGTTATATATGTGAACGGATACAAAAAGGACACCTACGGGATCAACCATTACATCATCACCCTTACAAATGTCAAACCAACAGTCATCACATTGCCGATATGGTGTCATATTTTAGACTCGTTGCTCTCGGCTTTATCCCGACTGAATCCTACGTCAACTTGTACTGCTTGCTGAAGAAATTCAACACCACGCATGAGTTAAACACGCCCTAATCAGGTGAGTCCTTGAAAATCCACAGACTTATCAAAATTAAAGTGTACTGATAGACTATCAGTGACTATCAGTTTCGACATAAAGCTTAAAGATAAAGTTGTAGAACTCAACGTTTACGTACACATCTGGAAAATAACTACTTGTGCATACAATTCAATACATATCTCTTTCTCCAACCACTAATCTGAAGGATATCCAAAGCCTCTGACACAATTATCTCACGCCAAGCTCCACGTAAATTAGAGCCTCGCAAGTAGACTGAAATATCAAAAGAGAGCTGATTTTGTTCTCCAACACTTCTACTTTCTCTGAAATTGTTATAATGATTATTTATGGAATAGACCAGGTAAACTGAAATATTGCTATTCAAATATTCATAATTGCAATATAGATAATACAATTATAGAAAAGCTAAGCACACAAGAAAAAATCTTCAATTCACCATGATCGACACTTGAACTGGTCTGGAACATCATGCAAGTAGGTGAAAATGTTCATTCATTTATAGAGTTCGAAGTTCTAGTCGTAGACTCTCAGAACGCGATTGCGTAATGTTAAAAGTTTCGAATGAAACGGTGAACTCGAATACACGAATTTCACAGCAGCACGGAGAATACTTAATTCGTTTTTATATGACAAGAGATATATCCGCAAGTAATGAAGGGATAAAATGAAATCCAAATCTAAACAACCATCAGCAACTGGAAATTTCTGCCTTCCCACCTCCACAGGAACACACAAACAGTATGCAGGTAACAGCTGCGACAACAAACTGGTATAAAACACATTAGTTAACGAAGCTAGCAATGTCAATTCATTCACTCACTTCTAATATATAGGGCTGTGAAAATCTTGAATGGTTCTTTGTGAAACTTAAGTTGTCATCAGCTGCAACATTTCGAAATTCGGAAACACGTGGAAACTGTGACTCTTTAGGACTTCGAATACCGTATCTATTTCCCGCTGAAAAATTCGTTTGCTGGGTAATATCATGAAGTGCTCGTTGTTCACTTTGGGTGGACTGAAATGAAACATTGTATTCAATACCTTCAGGTCTACCCGTAAGTGGTGCATTTTGACATGTGTTCTCAGTTGTAGAGCAACCTTCCTCGGTCACAGTCTGTGCAGGAGGAAAATTCCGCCCAGTGACGAGATTGGGATTACTGCTATCTCCACAGTTTTCAGTGAATGAAGAACTAGACGTGCGATACATCATTGCCTTCTGAATGGGAATGCACAAAGTCAATAAAAAATCAAGCAGCCAAGTGAGATTCCGAATGACGTAACAATTTACTGGACAGATGTTACGGGATGTAGCTTACTTGTAGTGACAACATTTATGGTCCCAATAGTGCCAAGCATTCACATATTAAGTTATTATTATTAGTAGTACTACTGAGTAACAGTGGATGTCATAATTGATGGAATTACTCAGGAGTCGTCTTCTTCGCAAATTATGTCTGACAATATTGGCTGCTTGCATATTCATAAGGCGAAGAATTTCGCCAAACGATGTACACAAATACTTCCCAAATCCTAAAATATTTCTGAGCACTCCATTCCTCCAAGGCTTTCTAGCTAAGAATCCGGTTCTGTTTAAACAGACTTACAAAGTCATCAATATTGACAGTGTGTAGCTACCGTATTCTCTGCTGTCCATTTTCAACAGACAATATATGACTCCACAAAATCTTACTCAAATGAAGCTCACTTACATTAACGCTAGATTTTATGTTTACAAATCAGGTATAAATGTGTGCATCAGGCTACGAAAGTCGACTGGCATGTGACTAACGCTTCAGACTGAGATGAACAAGATTGGCTTTCAGCGTGTCACAAAATATCATTCAAACGAGAAAAGTAGTTTCACCAATACACAGATGTTATACCTCAGATTGTTACTAAGTAGCATTACACACAAAGCTTTCGAATTAAAAGGCTATTGGTGGCATCATGCATTGATGTCACCGCTATGAAGATGAAGAACGTCACCGGTCTCGTCGCATTTGTACACTCTACTTCCTAATTGATATGGCACAAAATAATCACGAATATAACTGACATAGTGATTCAGTCTATTCATGCAGGTACTCACTTAGCTCACCTATTTCACTACAACGCATATCTACTTATAAGACAACACTACAGTGGCGTTAATTATTCATGATATTACTGGCAATATGATTTTTGGTTATAGAGCACTAATCCACATATTATAAGTGTATTGACTCGCGAACCCAAAAGCATAGCAGGAAATAAGGGAGACGATGCTATAACAACTCCGAAGGAGGGGATAGTAAATGTTGAGGAGTAAACACACACACACCCAAATACAGAGTCGATTAGTGAATACGACTGTGATCGACTTCAATTGGCGATAGGCGATAACTCAGATAATTATTCCACAGGTACATGAGCGAAACTTCCTTACGTTGTGTTCAAGTTCTTCGGCTTAAAATCACTCCAAAGAAAACAACAAATAATAATAATGACTTCAGCCGTCTCAATCAACTCACAAACCTCACTCACAAACTTACTCACTTATCGAGAAATTAATATTTACTCTGATGTGAGTTTGTTTTGAAACTTGACTGAGTGCACACTTTTAGACAGGTTGTGTACATAGATATTATTTGGGATTAGATTTGTGAAATCACACAGTCTATTCAAGGAAAGCAAATAGTGAAATGATATGACTTGTCAATCTTTTCGGACAAGGGGCATCTTGTATCACTAACAACCAACCGCTTTAAAACTTAAATCAGAATTACTGCTTCACAAGATCAACTGAGCCAACCAATTGACCACAAACTGTGAATCAAGTGCTAACCGAGTAGCTCCACAACTTGAAGTTATCACAGTTATGAAATCTTTCCAACACTTTGATCTCGATCTCGAAAATGTTACTGTTTGTTCTGTATCACAATTGTGAAACATACGAATTCGCACAAACTCCATCCGCTTTTGTGATAAAGTCAAAGTAAGTCCAAGTAAGGTGCACTTGTACACTTGCATACCAATAAATAATTGACATAATACTTGCTTAAGAAAACTAGAGGTCTTAACATTTTCGATACCTTCTAACAATGAGCAGAAATAAACTGTAGTGCAAAAGTAAAAAGTGAACCTAACACCCACACCGTATATTCAAGGCAAACAAATTCGAAATTAGGACGAACAAGTGAACTCCACTCAAGCATATAGCAGCTTCAAGAACCCTTGACGGATGGTATGAAGCTTCAAGTGGACATACCAAGTGCACCTACAACATCACAGAAACTGAAAATTTAGCAGATTATGACAAATTAATTTCGGTAAGGATTCTCATCCAATACATTTGACAGCGGACTACAAGTCTCTAACAGACCGTCAAACTTGCTTAGACAAAGACGCTATCACATTTCACTCGGTGGAAAAGTTAGGTTAAAGAATTAAACACGATTGTCCACATGAAAATGTCATCCGCTGAAATAGTTGGAATAGCAAGACTATTTCGTCCGGGCATCCACCATCCAATACTTAACTGACGGTGCTTCACCTTCATAATTTTTGATTTACGTTCTAAAGGTACCCACGTATTTTATCCTACAGTTTATGCAGAGTATACACCAGCTCATCACTGGTTGGAAAGGAAGACAGCTCGAACTTTCCACTTGGTTTACATCCAAAATTAAAAGCTCCAACCCAGTTATCATTAGTGCATGTTTAACCCCATAAAATAAATCTCACCATGGTATTATGAGACACTTGTCATCAGTATAAAAGATGTTAAGAGGCATAACAAAACCAGAAAGTGAAAGCCCATTTTAAAATTTGACAGAGTCGACCAAAAGTTCTAAACTGAATAAAGAAGACAAAGTGAAACTGAAGTGTGAAAACACTAACACGATTAACGTAAACACACAATACATTACTCAAACCTTAATGATTGACTGGATTATTTGCTCAGAGCATCTTAGAAATTCATCTATGATAACCTTTTCTTGTTCATAGTCGGAAAGATTTTTGAGTGCAGTTTCATTGGCGCGAGCAAGCATACAGCTGTATGCTGCCTCAATTGCTTCGTAGGAAATAAGCTTAAAAATATGACTTAAAAACTCAGATTACCGATTTTGACCTATTTATATATCCATGGTCAGTAGGTGGATTTGATTTGATTGTGCCCAATATTCCACCGAAAGCTTGGTTAGCGTGTGGTAGTTGGACATAATTATCTTTGTAACAAAATGCATCTTGACTATACGTGAAAGAAGGTGATTTTGAATAGATGAGAAGTATCCGCGACAACCTACCCATTGTGTAACAGTGAGTTTTTCTCACTGATCCGAAGAGGATCTGCGTCTGATTCTGGTTGCATCTGCTGCTGCCCAACGTTTCGACATCCCTGACACCGACATAGGTTAGAACACGCAATTTTCGCCTGTAAGTGAGACTGGTTAAGTAATTACTATGAAACCTCATAACATTCGCAATAGTTCTTCAGGCAGCCGGACTTTTTGCAGTTGCACCCCTTTGAGTGTCGTCGTTCGCCGTCGCCTAAAGTAGTAAACAGTGAGAACCACCTTACCGACTTTCGGATGAAATGCCAGTGGATTTTTTTCCAAAGTGAGTTCTATTGCCCTCCTGCGATCTTCTTCATGAAGACCATTGTTCATGCAGTTTGTGCAGTTGCAATTATTGCAAGCGTTGCCTCGGGCAAAACATTCACAATACAGTTTGAGACAATGGGATTTGGCGCAGTTGCATGGTTTATGGTAAGAAGGGAAGGCATAGAAGGTGTCAGAAATTCCTGAATGATCTCTCGATTCTGATGAGAATTGAGAGAATTCAGTAGGAACAGTTTTAAGTGAATCCTAAGTAAAGCTGAGCATTCCATTCAACTTTTACTTACATTGTCCATGTGAATGTTATTTAATTGTCCAACTAAATTCGTTTCACCGAAATTGGATTTATTACACTCATTGAGCAATCCGTTTGAAATAACAGACTCTCCTTTGTCAACATTCATCTTCGCTAGATATGTTCACCAATGTGCGAAATCGGAGGGGAAATCCCTAGGATGGACTTAGCAACGAGTAAAACAAGCTGGCAAATGTCGACCTAGAAAACGTAACTCAAAGATGGGTAGACATTAATGCTCAACCTATTCAAATACTATTTTAGGCAAAGTTAGGCAATAGAATCCTAAGTGGTGAGAACGCATGAGTGACCTTGAGCCGACCATCCATAAAAATAAGTGATGTTTGCAAGAAAAATGACGTTTATTTACGAGGAAATACATGGAAACACATCAACCAAGGTGTCTTTCAAGTTAGACCAGTCTCTATGCATGTATTCACCGAGGTGACCGAAGGTGAGCTTATATTCTGACCCGTTTATCGCTCTTATCCCGTTTTGCAGTCTTCTTCAAAAGCCCTCGGTTGAATTAATATGGTTTCCAGTAAGAAGATGCACGACTACTAACTGGAAAATGTGGATAATAAAACCAAAAAATAATACCAACACCAATACTAAACCTAATAATAACTCTAAGTTTTATCGTGAGCATAACATTAACCATAATCCTAACCCTAATCCCAGTTATATCCCTCATTCTAACCCTTACCCTATCGAGGTATTAACCTATTGTCCAAACAGTACTTGAAAACGTGATTCGGGTGAAAATTGCCCTTCAGTTGGTGAATAGAGTTCATATTTGCGCAATAACAACAACGAGTGTCGTTAGCCAACGACTAGAATGCGTTCAAGGTCATCTGAGTGTTCACACTCCAATATCCTATATCGTTTCTACGAGCTAGTATAAACCAATTTGATTTCATTGTGCTCGCCTCTTGATTGTGACTTATAGGTTCCTGATCTTTGGTAAACGTCTGCGTAGCCCGTCCCGCCACTCGACCTTCGTAGATTTTGTTGACTCTAAAAGGAGTAGTGCAGGGACCAATTGTATGTGGTTTGTAGAATGAGGTGTGTTAAGACTGTTACTACTGTGAATGGAGTTGATCCTTTCACCAGTTGGTCCTTCGGTATCGTCGTCAATAGAAAAGAGATAATAATAATTATAGATATAATTAGTGAAGGTATTCAGACTAACAAACAGAAAAAGAATAAGAAAACGTAACAACAGTCAGTCAACCGGTATATATATATATATATAAACCGGTAATAGTGGTAATAATAATAATAGGTGTAGTTAAAGCTGTCAGGAGAGTAAGACGAAAGAGAATGTAAAGAAGTAAAACGACAAGTTTAATTGTCCACCTTTGAATGGTATATGCAATTTTAAGGGGATAGGCCATTTGGATGTAGTGCTTGTGTCGCTGCACGATTGTCCAGCCTTCCTTTAAAGCTATCCGCAGACGGTACCGTAGCTACATATGCTGGTAAGGAATTCCAGGGACGGCAAACCCGCAGGGAAATGAAGTGAGAGCTCACCCGGGTCCTTGCCCTCTGATGAGCTATCCTTCTAGGATTTCCACGAGGGAGCCTATACCTACTCAACGGCAGAACACCTTTGTTTGTGCGATTCTGGTCATTTGTTATCTTGTAGGCAGTATTTGAGTCGCCCCTAAGCCGACGATAGCTAAGTGTAGATAGGCCTAATTTCTTCAGCCTTTCATTGTATGGTTTGTTTCGGAGGCCAACCACTCCTTTAGTCGTCCGTCTTGAGACTCTTTCCAAGAGGTTGGCGTCTCTTCTAAGCAGTCGGGTGCAATAATATTGCTCAATTGAAGGTGTGGTGTGACGTACATTTTGTACAACCTTAGAAAGAGCTCAGGAGTGAGTGCACCTAATTATCTATGTGTGAAGTGTATGACCGCATATGCCCTCGCTACATCCCCCGTGTAATTCACGCTTGTGTCAGTTTTCTCCGTTAGAACTAGACCTAAGCCACGTTCTGACGTTGAGCAGGACAAGCTTTCATTGCACAGGGTGTAACTTGCATTCTGCAGTCTACAGGTGCGTAACTTCACTACTTTGCACTTTTCAGGTTGAAAGTCATGCTACTGGCCACCGTCCAGTCTTCCAGAAGCTTTGGATCTGCCTGCAGCCTATCTGAGTCCTCCGGACACCTTATTGTTCTCCGTATCTATACCTCGTCAGCGTATAGAAGAGTTGGGCAGCTTAGACGGTGTGGTACATCATTGATAGAAATCAAAAACATCAATGGCCCTAGGATAGAACCCTGCGACACTCCTGATGACGAGCTGTGCCAAGACGGTCGGACTCGATTGACCTTAGTGCAAAATTGCCTTTCAGTTAGCTAGTCCTTCAACCATGACGGAAGTGGTTTACCTATACCTACCTGGCTTATTTTGTGTAGGAGAAGGTCTTGGTGAACAGTGTCAAATGCCTTCTCAAATTCTAGGAAGATCACATGGACTGGGACATTCATATCCCAGCATGATGTCCAGCTGATAATAAGTTAGTGACGCAGGGTCTCCCTTTCCTGAAACCGTGTTGGGCTTCATGGAGTATTTTAGACCTATCGAGATATTCCCTTATGTGATCATCAATAATACTTTCCAGTACTTTTGATACCACTGGGAGTAGAGCTACTGGTCTATAACTAGTAGGATTTGGCCTATCCCCCTTGAAGATCGGAGAAAGGATGCTTCTTTTCCATTCCTTTGGCAGTTTCCCCGATTCCATGGAGTGCTGGAACAAGTCGCATAAGGGCCCACAGAGAGCTTCAGCGCACTGTTTCAGAACAGATGGCCTGATGTGGTCACAACCTGGGGACTTCCAAGGTGTGAGTCGCTGTAGCTTCCTTAGAAATATTGCGCGGTTTATTTGGGGAGTCGCCACTAGGTCTTCCCCCTGTGAAATAGTACTGCTACCATTTTGGTCCGTAATGGTAATACCCATATTGCTGTTTAGCTGTTTGGCGAAAGTTAAACTGAATGTTTCAGCCATCTCCAGACTAGTGAGATATTGACCGTTTTGGCCTACTAAGGCGCTTGCCCCCCGGTTGGTTGGTTTTCTTTCCGACATGAATCGGTATTAGGGTTTTTGGGGTTTGCTAGGAGTTTTTTAGCAAGGTTAGCCTAGAATGACCTCCTGTCCCTCCTGACTCTCGCGTTGCACCGGTTCCTGAGTTCCAGGTATGCGTCGTGGTTGATCTGTCTCTTAGACACGCACCACGTAAACCAAGCCTTCCGCTTTGCTTGCAGAATACGTTGCGTGCCTCTCTTTAACCATGATGACTTTCTTTTGGGCTGTGTTGTGACTAAAGGGACGGTATCCGAGATTACTGTACGAATAATCTTTTTTACCGCTTCCCAGTGTTCATCCACAGACAGCTCATCCCATGCTAAGGGCCAGTCTGCATCGGACAAGAGCCTCCGCATTTCAGCATAGTCAGCCTTGCTGTAACACAGACATGGTTGCGTAACGTCCCACTGCAAATGCTCACGGAGAACGAGATCGAAACCTATGACTGCATGGTCACTACTTCCTAGAGGAGTCATGATCTGGACCTTTACGACGAGTAGTTGGTCACTAGTTAGAATGTAGTCTAGTTTTGATGACTTTCCACCAGAGCCCCACCTAGTGTCGTCTCCAACGTTCTCAGTCAGTCCCGTGTTTCGAATAGTTTGCAGTAGATTTCGGCCGAATTTTCCCTTAGCATACCCCGAGCCAAGGTTGAGTGATGGGGCATTGAAATCTCCAGCAATGGTGATTTGGTCATAGCCCAAGTCTCGTATCCCTGTGATAGTGCTGAGCAGTAGCTGATTGCGCTCTGCCCCACAGGTGGGAGATCGGTAGATGCCACCAAGTAAATGCTTGGTGTGGCCTACGGTGAAATGACACCATATGGAGTCTGGGAGTTCAATAAGTGGTGGGTCCGTTGCGCGCACACATTTAAGTTGTCAGTCAAAGTATATAGCAACTCCCCCTCCTTCATTATTATCCCTGTCTCTCCTAACCGAAACCATATCACCTATACTGATTTCATTATCGGCGATAGTGGGGGTTAGCCATGTTTCGGTGAGAATGATCATTTTCAGTTGTAGGTGTGCTCGGAGATTTCGGAGTTCACCTATTTTTACTCTCAGCCCCTCACATTGCTATACAGGCAGCTGACAGTGAGTCTTACAACCTCAGCGTGTTGTGGGGTAGTTGACGTGAAGCTGTCTGCTGGTAGGGGACTTAATGTTGGGACTAGTTGGCCAGTTCCAATGGAACCGGCCCATTGTGGTATTTTCCCATGGACTTAGGCAGGACACTTGGGTGACACAGACTGTTATTCTCAGAAATGCATCGCTCTGGTGTCACTGAAGCTTGGGGACGTATTAAAGCCTCAGTTTGCTGCCTCCTTATGGTTCGAGGTCTGCCTTCGCAGCATCGGATGTGTCCTCCCAATTTCCCCTTGATCTCATACCACCGTTGAAGTGCTATGGCCATCTGCTCTGGGGAGTTGAATGTGACACTTAGCAGCTGTGGGGAGCTAATCAGTGTGAGATGAGCAGGGCGAGGTAGTCGGGAAATGGAGATGGCTTCAGAAGCGCCAAGGGCCATCTGAGATGACAGCCATCTCCACTGCTGTACGTCATGCATGTGTTTTTCACAGGCAGTGCCCGTTTCCAGCTCCGGAACACCGTGTACCACCATAGGGGTAGAAGGCAAAAGTTCCGGTGACTCCCTTGCCATTTGTCTGATAGCCCATGGTCTGTCTTGTCTCACTCTTATGTTCGAGCTTCTGTCAATGGCTAGTACCTGAGCCATCAATAGTACCTTTTCGGCCTCTTCGGCAGAGTCCAGTGTAACCCGTAATGGGGGTGGCTTACCTTGAGGTGTGTGGACACCCCTGTACAGTCTACACAATTTCACTGAACTAATGTTCAGACCTAATTTATTGCACAGGCTGGACCACTGTTCCTGAACAAACAGGGCCCGCTGTTCAAGCAAGTTGTCCTTACTCACAGGTACGTTAAAGAGGATGAGACAATTAGACCGATTAACGTCAGACTTAGGTTTGGCCTTTGGCTTCTTGTATTCCTTTGCAGCATCAGCAACTTTAGGCTTCATCGGGTTCTGGCCAGCCTTTGTTGTGTTGCCAAGCTTGCTTGTGGATGCGAGTGGTACTTTTCTAATTCTCTCTTCCCTTGATTTTGTGGTTCCAACCTTTTGCATCTTCACCTTATGAAAATTGGCATTTTCAGTCAGTAGGACTGGAGTGTCCTTCTTGCTGTCTGAGCCAAGTTTTGGCAGTGTGATGTTAGCAGGTGGGGAGCTGCATAAGACTTTGTTGGGACACAAGAGCGTCTTGTTTTTTCTGCTATTCGCAGACACGCTCTGTGGGACTATGCCAGGGCGACAAAGTGGACAGATGTAGCAAAACCACGGGCACGGGTTATTTTGTTGCTGCTGCTATATTTTGACTGAATTAGAGTACACGTATATCTTAGCACTTCTTCGCGTTTATTATTGTGTCCTAACGTTGCGATTACTCGACATCCACAACGTAATTCAAAAGGCACTTGCGAAGGAATACGATAGTGTATTATTGCCGCAATCAAAATTCAAAAATCGAGCGAGCACCAAAGTATCAATTGTTAACATGCAAGATTTAGAGTAATAAATAAATGAA